AATATAACTTTTTTTATTTTAAAAACAAACAAGCAACCCCCTGTCCAGATTTAAAAAGTAACGCAAAAGTAACATAATTACTTACTTTCCATAAAAAGTAACTAAGTAATGTAATTAGTTACTTTTTTTAATGGAGTAACGCAATATTGTAATGCATTACTTTTAAAAGTAACTTTCCCCAACACTGTATATATATATATCTTTTTAAAGTTTTTATTTCTTTCTTTCTACATGCAGAAATACAGGTGGCTAAAGTGATCTGAGGATGACACAAACATGCAAGAGATGTAGCATCATGTTGAAGACATAATTTCTGACAGCTGTATCATATGGTCTCATTGTAAAGACCTCAATGAGTGAATCAATGCCTGATTTTCACACAGCCGATGTCAGGAGTGGAGTTTTGGACTTTATAGTTTAATAACCTGGTGTATTTATTTTCACTGTTCATATAAATTTGTTCAGATTGTTAAATGTCTTCAGCATTTAAACATAGCAAAACAGAAATGTACTGTAGGAAATTCAACAGACATTCAACAGTGTATTTGTTATTTACTTATTTATTTATGGGTAGTAATTTGTTGTATTCATGGCATCTGTCAGGGATTTTGTAATCTTATTATTATGATAAAAATGTAAATCTTCAATAAATTTTTGTATTCGACATTTGAAAAGATACTTTCTTGTAGAATATTTTTTTTCTTATGTACCACTGACATCATCAGCTTAAGTCCTAAAACTGAATGGAACTCCAACTGTTGAGTTTTTCAGATGAAAATGTTCAACAGAAACCGTTTTCATTGTCACCATGCTCATCATTTTCATTTACTAAGATACACAAAATATTTATTCTATAAATAATTACATGAGATATTGTGAAAATTTTGAATTAATAATATAAAGAAAAAAGTTTATTTATTAATTTAGAATTAATAATGGAAATAAAAATGAAATTTATAAAATATCTGATTCATAAAAGCTTATCAAACTGAAGTGTGCGTTATGCAAAAAAAAATAAAAAAATTGTACTGCATTCAATCATACAAACCTGTATGTCAAGTCAAGTCGAGTCACCTTTATTTATATAGCGCTTTTAACAATACAGATTGTGTCAAAGCAACTGAACAGCATTAATTAGGAAAATAGTGTGTCAATAATGCAAAATGACAATAGTAAACACTAATTTTCTAGTATCTTGGACAGAAAAGGGTGATTCGAGATCGGTCTGTAATTAACTAGTTCTTTGGGGTCAAGTTGTGGTTTTTTGATGAGAGGCTTAATAACAGCCAGTTTGAAGGTTTTGTGGACATATCCTAATGACAATGATGAATTAATAATAGTCGAGGATCTATGAGGATCTATTAAAAAGATTAAAAAGAGGATCTATGACTTCTGGAAGCACCTCTTTTAGGAGCTTAGATGGAATAAACCTGTATGGTTGTAGATCATATATAAACTCGTTTTATTTATTTTTTATTGTGAGATCATTATGGTTTAATTTGTACGTCTGTGTTGCCGTAAATTGATCTTAGCTTGTGTTTTTTTAACAGTCTTTTTCTGTTCGGTTTACAAATGTTTGCTGTTTTACTCCGAGTCGAAAGATGGCGACAGTCATCACAAAGATCTTCGTTGCTCTGTAGCTCATAGTAAACAACAGTTTACATGTGAAATATGTTCAGTCTCTTTACTTGTTGAGATAGTTTCAAGAGTGTACAGTATGCCCATCAACATGAACAGTAATGCTTTATAAACGTCACATCCTTGTTGTTTAAAATTGGACTTGGTGCGTCTCTAATCAGGATGAATTTTGGCTCCAAAAGCAAGAAGCGGATGGTTCTGCCATCCAGACCGGTGTTCCGGTGAATTCAGTTTCCCTGTTTCCCCCTCACAGCGCCTGCGCAACTTTGCAGTGTTGCCAAGTCAGCGGTTTTCCCGCGGTAGTTTTTAGTAGCAATTGGACGGGGTTTTTTTCTTGCGAAAAGACAGCAAAACCTGCAAGCTGCGCATGCGCTGTGAGGGGGAAACAGGGAAACTGAATTCACCGGAACACCGGATCCGCCGACCGTGGAGCAGATCATGGAGGACGTGAACCGAGTCTGTCCCGGCGATCTGGTGTTCACTGTTTCACACGATTCTGCTGAAGGTACCGTTACCGGACAGATGAGGATATCTCAGCACTTTGACTTAAAACACCCGCTCATTTAAGCACAAATACAGCGCTGTTTCATGCAGCAATTCAGGGAAATGAACATATTTGAAAAATAAGTTATTGTAATTCATTTCAAGACACTTAACATACAAAAGTAATGTCGCGAATGTAGATGAACAGTTGACATAAGAAGCCAGTATATACGATTTGTTCACATGGGGGGTTAAATGGGGGAAATATGCCTCCCTTAACAACAATGTGCATTTGTTACATTGAAAAATATTTTCAGATATAAGTTTAGCAAATGCAGGATGATAAAAAAAAAGTAATAATAATAAAAACACCATACGTTCAAGTCAGTCTGAACACAACAAAGTCAAGCAAGAACACGAGCCCAATTAAAAGGTCAAAATATCCATCATGATTGATATCCTCCAATGGATATCAGTGAATGTAACTTAACAACACAATCTCACAGCAATTCATAATTATTCTATGTTTTGGGCGAATTTGTGGCTATCCCCCCACCCCATAGGTTTCATAGGTTTTTGTACAGTCTGCTTACTCCCCAAGGTTAGGCGTGGTGCTGTATGCTTACTTGTTTTCTAACAAATCACATCATAAAAATTAATATGAAATAAGCATCTCATAAAACAGGTACATTTTCTCTTGAGATCAGGAACTAGACTGTGGTGCAGAACTGCAAGTTATCATTACTTTAAGTAATGTACAGTCTCTAATATATAACGAGGAGCGTATAGACAACGTTTTGCCTCTATACAAACACATTTTTGTCCTTTTTCTAGTGTTTGTTCACCTGGTAATGCTAATCCAATTCATCATTTGCTGGTAACTTGAAGTTCTGTTCTTTTGTGTGTTGTGTTTGTTCACCTGGTCATGTTAGTCCCATACAGACAGAATGATATTAGAATCCAGAAGTTGTCTGTTTTTTAAGCCCATGTCTTAGTTACTTGTTTCAAATGGCAATTAAAATTTTTTTAATAACAATGGGGTAATTAGTGATTACATGTATTATTTAATCTTGGCAAACTTCTTTGCTACTGCTAGCAGTGTTGGACATGGATGTTAGCTAGTGTGGCACCTTTGCATTGCATAATGGTAATATTTGGCCTTGACTTTTCAGATCTGAAAGCCAGTTCCAGCAGCAGCGAAGTGGAGGCGAGATACCTGCAGAGCAGACGCTACATAGAGCTGCATGAGCGATTGCAAGAGGAACGTGGCAGTCTCGCACGGTGGAGAGACGAGCTGCAGGCGGCTGGAGAGTCTTTGGAGCACAGCGTGATGGAGGTGAAGAGGATGTGACAACTCGCCTGTAGCTTTCGAACTCGAGCTCATTCAGTAGCTGATGACTGAGCATGGCACTTGATTTCCATGGAAGCGCCTTTCCTCTAGCTAAGCTGCTGTTAGCATTTAGGTTCAATGTCATCATAACACCTCTCTAAATGTGCCACTTGGACACTTTTTACATTTTTAATTTATGTTTGTGATATTTCTGGCTGATTTTTTTAAATGAAATCTACTTGGTCAGTGTTAGTGTGTTGTGTGTGTTTAGTACTGTGTAAGTGCAGTTCATTCCATAACTTGTGCGGTCTTAATGTATTTTTCATTATTTAATGTAATTTACATCTAATTTTCACAATCCAAGCTTTCTTGAGTTTATTGAGACTGGAATTGTTCAGGGTAGACTGTATATATATATATACACAGTATATATATATATATTCATCACAGTGACATTTTCACATGTGTTAAAGTGGAGATAAATAGCCCCCCCCCCAATTTTCTATTTGACTAAAATGTTTGTATTAAAAATATTTTATAACAATTATGAAACTGTGCTTGATGTGAAGTTTTGTGAAGGAGGAGCACTGAGAAACTTTAAGTTCTTGTGCTCCTTTATGAAAACATATTGTGTTTATGATTACTAGTATATAGTGGTTTTCATATTGAAATGGTTAATTCCACATAACACTGACTGTAAAATATGTATTACAGGTACGGGAGTGGTATATTTTAAGTTTTGTTAGTTGTGATAGGGTCATTAGACTAGTTGGGCTGTTTTTGATTGGCCGTTGGACTAGTGTTGTTATGCAGACCTGGCAACCCTGAAGATAGTCAGAAGGCATCTACCATTGAATAAATTACTTCCACTCAGATAAAGTAAGGACACAGGTTTTATGAGAATGTTTATTTGAGGACCCCGTAACCCTTGGCCAACACCACATTCTTCCAAACAACATTCTGAACCCAATTCATACTTTGACAAGACCTCTCAAATATGCATAAAATTTTCCCTTTATGTCAATTTGAATTTAGCATTGCATCATATTGCTTTATCCCGACCACCACTGATAAGGGTCATTACAACATTACACTGAGCTCTGTTACTGGTCAATTTCAATATCTTCAGAGGACGTCTTTAATGTGGGAACACCTGTTGGTATCGGCACATACCACACATCACATCACATCTGAAATACATTGTAGTTCTCTGTATCATTCTCAGAATTTGTGGGATCAATGACTTTTCTTTTAGGAGAGAATGCATGTTTTCTGACTAAAAGAGACAAATTGAGTGAAGCTGCTATATTACAGTTAAAACAAAGCCCATGTAAATACTGCACCTCACCAAATAAGACAAACACTTTTTTGTGCTGGCTAATTGGCCACAGTGAAACCTACACTGATCATATGTCTACAATATTTGCTTGTGTAGCTGCAGTTTTGGCAATAGGCTTTGGTTGAATGGAAGCCATTTTAAACATTCTACAGCAGTCTGTTAGAATTCAGCCCAACTTACTGTAAAAGTATTTATCTCAATCCACAGAGATGCTACTCATTAGCTTGCTTTTAAATACTTAAAGCATAACGTGACTCTACACAAAATGACATTATGAAAGCATTCAGTAAGCAAGAGTATGTACAGCCACTTAATTAAATTGCATACAATTACTGAGCACTCAACAATTACAACAATCTTATATTAAAAAAATGCAAATGTGTGGGTAGAGATTCATGGTTGTACTTACAGTCTGTCATTTTCAATGAAAAAAGAAACTGCAAAGTCAACATCACATGTTTACAGTGGATAAGTGAGTATTTAGCATGCTATTTGTAGCAATGGCAGGATTACATTTTGCCTTCTGGGAAGCATTTGACTACAGTTGTATATCAGTATTTACAACATTACCACTAAATATCCATGACAATTACATGGACATTTTGTGCAGATTTGACCTATTGTAGCTATATTTTCCTGCAGTAATAATAAGTGAAGGCAAGAGGCTGTTTAACCTGTCTGTGTGGCATAAAGGCATGTGCATACATGGTTCTCATGTGAGAGTACAACAGTCTTTTCTGGTTTGCAGGTGGCACATGGTCTTTTAAAGTATTTGTCACTGTTGTTTGAAGAATAGTTTGCATATTGTTCTAAATGTAGGTCGTAATTTTTATCTGTGGATAACACACTTCTGAGACAGTCTTTGTCATGTGTGATTAATTGTCCAAGTAGCACAAGCAATGATTAATATCACTGTACAAAAGTATTAAAAAAATGAGGGTATACCCTCATTTGTGGTGGGGTTAGGTTCATGTTGTGAATCCAGTGAGATTCTATACTACATGGGTAATTGTTCACATCCAGATTGTAATTTTTTTCAAATAGGTAAAACTTCTGATGCACTGGCAAGCACAAGACTCATTAAATATCCGAGGTAAAGAGAACCATATCCATTACCACCTGAGTTTTTTTACAGCATCAGGAGCATAGTACTTTGTCAACCTTGGAACAGTGGACTGATTATGCTTCATGTTTTTCCCTTGTCTTCTCTGGCATTGTCTGTGCTTGACCATGTGTCTGTGGAGAGCAGCAGACCATGGGGCTGGGGATGTAGTTGAAAGGTGTAACCCTGACAGCTTTACTGGGTGAGCTCTGTCGGAAATGGCCAACACCACCATTGTGGCTACTTTCCACTGACTGAAAGGTGGAGGTTGATGCTGTGCTGTAGGTTTTTAGAGATCCATCCGAATCCCCATCTTGGAGGGTATTACCAAAGGCCATGCTTATTTTCCTGGAGAGGGCCATCTTTGTGGCCTCGTCTGTAATGCCAAGAACTTTTTCAATCGTGGGAGAGGTGCTTGAATTTGTTTTGTTGGCTGAGTAGTCCTCAGTTTGAACAGTTGCATCACTTGTTTTCCGTGATGCTAGAGTAATAGTAGGCAGTTTTCCTGGTAGCGGTGGTGGCATCTGTTTGGCGCCCTCAGGTGAAGGCAACAAAGGCAGTGCAGTGGGTGGAAGGGTGCTCTTTAATATCTGGGGAACATCCTCATCGCGAATCCTTCGCCAGGTCACTTTGTCAGAGTTACGTGATCCAGCTCTCTTTTGCCTCTGATTTGTGTTCCTTTCACTTTTAGCTCGTCCACTTGAGTCAGAGGATGAAGATCGAAGAGATGAGCGGCTGGTGACACGACTCAAGACATTTATGCTTGGTGAGGAGGAGTATCTTTTGAAGGTATCCTCCCTCTTTTCTCTTGGCTTTGGGCCGGGCGCATTTCTCTGTGAGGCCCTGCAAGGACTTTCCGAGCTTGTACGTCTAGCTGGGCATTTCACAGTGACGTCCCTATCAATGGAGGTGGCTCTTGATGGAGCCATGCCCTGCCTGATAACCCCCTGTTCCTGCACTTGTCTTTGTCCTTGAGTCACAGGCATTCTTCTTGGACCTTGAACTGCTTCCTTCAGCTCTTGACAACGAGAAGAACATAAGAAAACTGCTGGGGCCCCTGGAACTGCTCTTCGGGGTGAGGCATGCTGTGATGTTGGGACAGAACGTGAAGAAGCATCACGTCTTGAGACTTTTGACGACTCTTTGATGAATGTCAGTTGTCTGAGAAAGCCATTACGATCTGATTCACCACTACTTGAATGAGTAGATGTCATGCGAACCAAATCCAATCGATTTGCTGGTAGGATTCTTTTCCCTGACATCTGTGTATTTTGTCTGCTGATGCTAGTGGGCTGGTTGGTTACTAAAGGTGAAATGTTTCTTGTTTGCCTTGATGGATTCTGCATGAATGGTATTCTGACAGGGGATTTCTGTGTTTTCCTGTCTATAGGAGATTTTGAATTCTGATTGGTGTTTGAAGTGCTTCCTCTTTTGTCCGGTGGACTGCATGGTGCTGATGCCACGTTCTCTGGACCTTGTTTAATAGTTTGGGTTGGGGAGGTTACTTTCCTCTGAGGATGCCTGGAAGGTGTTGAACTTTGAGATGAACCTGAAGATGAGCTCTTTGGTATCCTGGCAGGTGGTGTTGAGCTTCTTTTGGGCAATGACAACAGCGTGGAGTCCATGGGGTGGCCCAGTCTGTGAAGGCTTCTTGACCTGTGTTGAGCTAGGTCTGGATTTTTAGGGGCATCTGCTTTCTGTGTCACTTTTTTAGGTGGTGGTCTTTGAGAGAGGGTTATCTCCTTCTTGGGCGTGTATATCACTGTTCTACCCCTGAAGACCACAGGCAAGTTTGGAACAGGTTTACGAGGGGCAAAATCAAGTGGTTTATTAGCCTTTTTGTCATCTTTGTATACCTTCTTCTCTTTAGGAGTAAAGCTTGATCCAGACATAAATGACAGAACTGATTCAGACTCTGATGAGGGTTCCTGGGATTTTGAAGCTTGTAACTTGGTAATGATTGTATTAGCTCCTTCTTGTATTGCTCTCCATTCAACACTGTTCAGATCAGAGTCTTTGTCTGATGCCATTTCATCAGAATCTAGGTCATTTTCAGGGCTCCACTCTGTTGCTTTCTGAAGAGTAGCTTTCTGTTTGTGCTTTTTCTCAGCTTTCTTTTTTCTGGCAGCCTGCTTTTTCTTGTGTTGAGGCATTGCAGATGTTATGCATTTTATCAAAAGATCATCTTCTGAATCCATGCTGACTGAGCTTGGCGAGCTGTTCTCTTCAAACTGGTTACGTTCTTGCTGTGATTTTGGAGGGCACTGGGGTTTGGATGTAATATTTTGTTTATTCCTTATCCACGTATGCTGAGGTTTTCCATGATGTTCCTCAAATTCTGCGTCACTCAAATAGCTAAGGGAGGAACTCAAAGAGTAACATGGAGGTGCTTCTTCTAAAATGAGGTTTTGCTTGATTCTGTGAAAACCCTTTTGGCGGGACTGGTAACAGTTGACTTGATCTTGTATATTAGCATTGCGTATTACATTAGTCTTGCTTGATTCATAATGTTGTTTCTGTCCCGTCCTATTCATCAGACCATCCTGTCTGTCCATTTTATGGCATATGGCCACTTCCGTAGTTGTTGGGTGATGCCTAGACTGAAAGGCTAAAGTGTTTTCCTGTGCATGACTCAGAGAGCAGGTTTTCTGATTTTGGTACACCTCTGTGTTTTGTTTTCTTATAAGAATATCTAACTGTGGCATGCTTTTTGACAGATTCTGTCCTTGCTTTTGAATTTGTCGAACTGGCGACTGGCTTTCAATCCTTTGCTGGGTCA